ACAATAACATTGACAAATACATTGTCTGTTTACTTTTACATACCAAATTTGTCACGCAGAAAAAAATTACACACAGAGTATTTAAAATTGAGTAAATATGAGGATTTAATATTTATTATTTGTAAAAAATATATTTTTACTTTCAAAATGTTTGTAATTTTAAACATTTCATGAGTAAATTTTTGTGCACATTTTAAACAACTCGTGTTCAAAATCAAATCTTTAACATCTTGTGCGTATATTTGCAGAANTTTTTGTGCACATTTTAAACAACTCGTGTTCAAAATCAAATCTTTAACATATTGTGCGTATATTTGCACAGATTCTGGTTGAAAAATAAACATTTTTCAGTAGTAGTTTTACATGCACTTTTTAGAGTTTATATACAAAATTAAAATATTAATCACGAGTATAAAGAAGCAAAAATTTTCCTAAGGACCTTCGCATCAAAAATTCAAAATAGAGCAGCTTTTTTCACTAACAACACTATGCTTTAGGTCGCTTATATTTTAACCGACCTGGCTGAACTCGAATAAATAGCCGAGTTTGTGTTGTTGCTGTGTATGTTTGTATTTCGTTACTTTACCGAGTATTCTTTTGTAGCCCCGTTGCAACAGAATGCCCCTAAGTATAGCTAAATAGAGCGTTGAAAGCCTGAAAACTTTTTGAGGAGTTATACTCAAAGGGCCGTCTTCTCAAGTAACCTTTAACTTTAAAGCTCACTTTATATTTAAAGCAATGTTTGCACAAAAAATTTACCAAATTCCTCAAAAACAAATGAAATATCCTCAAAATCCGCACAAATTACTCAAAATTTTCTTATTACAGATATGAGTATTGTGTAATTAATGCATACATACTATTTCCAGGTACCTACTTCGTATAAAAATTAATTACATTCTGCAATTCAATTGGTACATTTGTTCTTGCGGCTCAAACAAAGTGTGACTGTTATTTTTTATGCCTTGCTTTGTATATAATATTGCTGCAACTATATCAGTGCTCAATCTGGTCCTCAAGTCGGGCCTACACATTTTTAAAGTACTAACTGTACGTTCTACTGAAGTAATACGAAAGGGCTATATTAGTAATGCAGATATAAGTTCTTTTAACAAGGAAACTTTTATGAACCTGAAGAAACTTTTAATCCAAAAACTGGTTTCCTATAATTTTCTGGATCTAATGAAGAATCAATATTAAAATTATGCTTAAGAGCGAAAAACACCACACAAACGGCTTGACAATCCAAGCGAAATATCCCTTTTCTTGAAGCTATTTATATTTTGTATGGGGGTGTTTGAAGGTTTGACAAGCCGTTTGAGAGAAATGTGATAAAAATCAAAATTTTTTGATTTTCTGGCCGCCAAGTTGACGTTAGATCCAACCGCTTACGTTGTGTATCTTAAAATCGCCTCATTCGCTACGGAATTTTTACCGAATGAGGACGCAAAAGAGAAAAATCGAAGAAAACCAAACCCTTTTACATTGTAAACCGGAAGAAAACTAAAATTCTTTGCTTGAACGAGTCATATTTGCATGGTGTATGGCTAAATGGGAAAAGTAGGTTGGAAGAATGTTTGACAAGCCGCTTGTGTGGGTATTTCGCTCTTTATAATACTTCGTAAAGCTCCTCGTTCATAAATTTGCAGAGCGCTTTCACAACTCTGTTGTTAATGCATTTCTTATCTGCAAATATTTCCGAGTTAAACGAGTATTCACGAGTGTTAAACGAGTATTTTTAGCGGTGATAATTATTTAATACTAGCAAATACCCGGCGTGCTTCACTGCGCCTTAAAAGTGTTTTGTGCTGTTTGATACCCGTATTGTAATATTTTATTTATTTTATCAATTTAATATAATACAATTTTTCAAATTGGTGCCAAGCCTCCTCAAAAATATTTTCGGGAGTAAACTTTCCTAAACCTCTTCAGTTTGATACACATACTGCAATATTCAATTTATCTCATCAATTAAACTGAATTGAAATTTTCAAACATGTTGCAACCTTCAACAAATATATTTTCGGCTGTAAGCCTTGCAATACTTACTTTGCTTATCAATTTACTTAAACTGGAATTTTCAAACGGGTGGCCAGTCTCTAATTTTTTTCTTTCTATATTTTATGTCAGACCTCTAGCAAAACATCGGTGAAAACTGCATTCAATTTCGTGCATTAGTTTTCGAGTGATGCGCGTGCAAACATACATACAGACAGACAAAAATTCTATAAATTGTTTATTTGGCTTCTGTTGCTCAAATAAAGACCCCTTATTATTAATTTCTCTTTAGTTAATATAATGTACAGACATCGACCTGTTTTAATTGTATTTTTTTTTATTTATTTATTTATTTTTTTTATTTATAGATTTAACTAAGTTTGCAAAAACAATAGTTTTGATAAGCGTTTTGTTGTTAAGCGGTTGCGTTTCTCTTCGGCTGTACCACCAGATATGAAAAAAGTCGCTCAGCAGGTACCGAGGTACAAACTAAATGACAGTTTTCATTTCCTCCCAAGTGTCGATGATATTCCGCTTTAGTTCTAGGACTTGACAATTTAAATAAAAATTCATTTCATCTTGTGGGTGACCCAAATCATCATCTTTTCGCCTTCATTTGTGTACAAGTTATTTATGAGGGGCCCAAATATCGAACTGATTCTCTACTGATTCTAGTGACAATTCGCTACCCATTTCCTTAAGATAATCTGCGCACATTATTTATATATTATTTAATTTTGCAAGAATTTCATTATTGAGGTCAATGCTAACGAAATTAAAGTTGATGCAGCTAGCAAACAAGAATGTTCCTAATTCTTGAAAATATGTTTACGATTATTTTACAGTAAACCGATTAATGAAACTCAAAAGTACGATGCAATTAAATTGGATGAAAATAATCGATTAATTTAATCAAATGATTAATCGCTGCCATCCCAAGACACATCTATTTATTTTAAAGCAAGAATTTAAAGTGAGCTCTAAAGTTAAAGGTTATTTGAGAAAATGTCCCCAAGTATGCGCTAGGTCGTACTGGGGACGTGGAGGGAGCTTGTATGGTAGATAAATAGCCGTCCTTACCTTATTTCGGAAGTGTCACTGCGTGGTGCATGAATTCTCCGTACGGCACTAGTACGTTTTCCCACAGGGTACGTATAGATGTATTTACATATGTACATACATATATACATACGTAGATACCGCAGATGTACACGTATGCTCATAATCTTCCTACTCCCTACACAAATGTACGTACATATGTATATTTATAGCTATGAAACTGCAGTTATGTATATAGAAGTAGCTTTTAACTATTTATTGAATAAAATTGCTTTAAATTTATGTATATTTGCGACTCCAATAAAATATTTTTAATGTATGCATATACATACATACATATTATATTTGTACACATACCTACAACCATAAATACGAATGAGGGGCCGGAATGGAGAGTTTGAGGAGCCTAAACAAAAACAAATACATACTAGGTATGAATAAATTTTCGTATTTTGTGCTTTGACGAAGAATTTCATGTCGACTTAACGAAAGTATGCGAAAAAGAATACGAAATATACAGCATACACTGTGTTATAGCATCAAGCTGCTGTCAATAGAGTGAGCCAGCTTGACTTTACCGTTGACTAAACGAGGCATTCATTGAAAAGATGAATCGATGTGTGTATACATAAGTACATACATACATTTGTGTGTTGTGGAGGTTGGATGTAGCGTTAACTGGTTTAGTAGAAGGCTCACTTTCGTTGTGTTTGGATGTATAACATACGAATAAAAGTGTAGAGAATTTTCAACAAAAAATAAATAAAACATTAAACTAAATTAATAAAAGCACTGCGTTTTACTTTAAAAGGGAACAAGTAATTAAAATATCCATACATGTGGGTGTGCAAATACGAATTAGAAACAAATAGTACGGAGTAAGTACATATGCATACACCTACACACATATATGTACATATATTTACGTATATAACCTTCAAAAAAATGCGACTAATCCGGGATGAGTCCGGGAGCAATCGCAACGGAACATGCGACTAATACCACTTTTGATCTCTTTATATGGAATGAACTGTTCGATTTTGTTCGAGCATGTCCTAAGAAGAGACTAATTGTGCCCCTTTATACCCGAACGGGTATAAAAAGCGACTAGTCACTTAAAAAATAAAAATTAAAATTTGCGCCAGCTGCGGGGTACCCAGTTTTGTTAACCTAATACTCTATCTCTGTGCCAATAAACTGCATAACTGAATAACTGCATACGTATAATTAAATCCTTAATAGTACCCGTCAGAGATGAGTCGACTAATTAATCTCCAATTATACCCGTAAGGGTTGAGTCGAGACTAATTGATCTCCAATAGTACCCATATTAGACTAGTTGCGACTAATTAATGCCCAATTGTACCCGATTGAGAGTAATCCCGGAATATTCTCTTTGGAGATCAGACAAATTTTAGCAGGGTTCTAAATCTTTACCTACACATGCATGTATGCATGTACATTAGGGTGTCGATGCTACTATAGTCGAAGATATCACATATAAATTTTGGTCCCGAATGGAGACGGTTGAGGCGTGTCGGACAAAATTTATATGTATACATTTTGGGCATTAATTGAAAAAAAAAAATAAATTTTTTATTTTTTGAGTCCGTACAGGCATCTATTTTTTGACCTCTTTGCGACACGCCTTAAAGGACTCCAATCGGGACCAAAATTTATATGAGGTATCTTCGACTATGTTAGTATTGATTTTGGGTATAAGATGAAAAAAAATTTATTTTAATTTTTCGAGTCTCTATTAAGAGAAATCTGTACTTTGCGGTGGGTTTGGGGGTTAAACTACGTGTCAGTCAGTAGCGGACCCAGGGGGGTCTTAATACATAGACGCCATATATATAAAACATAGTTAATTCCTTCATGATCTAATGATCGGATCTAAACCAAACTAGTATCGAACCACCTTTGAAAAAAAGAATTATAGAATTCGGTTAACGTGCTCCAAAGTTATGCGGTAATATACATAAAAAAAATATTCCGACGAATTGATAACCTTCTCCTTTTTGTGAAGTCGGTTAAGAAAGAAGGTAGTTTCAATAAACAACTTTTTGGCGGATTTTTTAAGCTTCAATATGAATTCATGTTGTAAACAGCGTTACCATATTGTTAATATTTAAAATTAAATTAGGGGATTTTGAGATTGAAATTTCTTTCACAGATTATGGGTGTAAATATTTTCGTCTTCTTAGACGAAACCAAACAACTCTAGTACATGACATACGTAAATATGTATTGAACATATGTACATATAAGGAATGCAATTTTACCTCGGAATACAACGGGCATATGTACTTATGTTTATCGCATTTCTTACCCCTACCCCAAAACTGAAAATTAATCTTTACGTGTGTATGTTGTGTTACCATTATTACATGTTACAAGTACCTAAATTGGCAACACTACAAACCCCTTGAAACGATAGAAAAGCATTAAAGTAATACCCCTCCAAAAAACTCCATGTACTCATCTAAGTATTCTTCGTTTCAGAAGCGTTGGAGGCTGCGAGAAAAATTCCTTTTTGATATTTTGTATTTTTGCATCTCCAAATGCGCCACTCATTTTTCTTTTTATTATTTTTAAAAGTTATTTTACTTTTTTGCTTTGTCGATCAAATTATATTCAGGAAAAAAATTGTATTATACTTTCCAATCTGGTAGCTAGATTTTGATGAAAATGTCATAATTTCAGCAAAAGTCCAATGGCTAATATGGCTGCTAACGTTATAAAGTGAAACTACCTTCTTTTTTCTACTATGAATAAAATAGCTAAAGCTTTTATTTAGAAATCAGTAAAGAAAAACAATTTCGTAGTATTTTGATTTACAAGTAAAACAGAAAAATTGGACAAAAATTCACACCAAATGGGATCCACCGATCTTAAACTTCATAAGTCGAGAAAAACTCGAGCATGTACAACCGACTCTCTAGGGAATGACAATGCGGGATAAACTGTTCAGTCCAATTTGAATAAGATACATCGTTAGATGAGAATGAAGACAACATGTAGTCAATTCACTGAATTAGGCAGAGTTTATCAAGCTACTACAATAAAAAACGAAAACAGTGAAACATTTTCATTCGGTTTTGCTTTTATTTTTTTAGTATTTTTTTGCTATCGAAATTTTTCCAGTAGTCAGATATAAAATAAAAATGTGCTATTTAGAACAGTTTCTGGTATATACTTAAACTAGATGAAAACCCGATTAATTCGATTGCAATGATTCGGTTTACCCGGAACTCAGGAAATCAAGAAGAAACCAGTTGAAACAGGTTTGTAAAAACCGAGGTCATCACCCTAGTACATTATTATTAATAGGGCATATATAGCGTTGCGACCCAGCTAGATTTAATATGCTAACCCTGTTAATAAGGCTGTTAATAAGCATTTTGTCATGTTCCCGATTTTGGATGGAGATGATAGTCACTCTCCAAGGTGTATAAGTCTGTGTCGAGTTATACGCGTGCAAGTACACAGTATATGCCCCGAGGTTTCATCCTCTAGCCCACAAAACCTGCAGTTCGTCTCCTCAGAGGGTCCCATTTTGTGCAGATGGTACCTCAGCCTACAGTGTCCTGACAGATATTCGGTGAGAATTTTTATACCCTCTCGCTAAGATTTAGCAGCCGCTCATATATTCCTCGAGAGGGAGTTAAGAATCATTTGAACTGTCTATTGCCCTTTGTCGTGCGCCATTGGGTGGTAATTTGCCAGTCCTCAAATTCCCGCAGGAGCTGTGCGATGTATCCTTTGGATGGAACAAAGAAAGGCTGAGGGCCGTCCAGGCTCCGTTGGGCACCGTGTTTTGCTAGAGTATCAGACCTTTCGTTGCCGCCCTAGTATCTACATATGTACATACATACATACATACAGCCACTAAGTTCAGGTGCTGGTTTCTTTTTTGTTAAATATTCACAATTGTTATTCACAAAGTTTTCCATATCGAGGGCTTATGCTCGTATTCACTGCCCTCTATCTGCACTTTTCACAAAAATGAGATTCTGATATAAAGAGCCACCTAAGACTTAACTGTCATCGATGATATTAATGCTGACCGTGTATAACACTTGACAGAAGAATTTACTATTAAATTGCAAAGTCAGAATTAACATCAGTGATGTCAAGTAAGTTCCAGATGGGTTCTAGCCTTAAAAAAAATATTTTTTTGTTAAAATTCCAGATAGAGGGTATTGAATATAAGCCCTCGATATATTTTATGGTAAAGATTCGTAAAGAGGATTAATAGGTATCCTGAGTCTTGACTTGCGTGCGATGCACATACGTACCGTTCGTTGGGCACTTCAAACGCAATCCGACCGTCAGGGTTTGCAGTCAGAAATCCCCTAATATTTTTCGGTCGGAAGACTCTAATTCTCTTCAGGAAATCTTCCAATGATAATACCCAATTGTCTATTTTACAATTTTTTTTATATACTAACGGGCTTTAAGAAGGACTTATAAAAATAGTTAATGTTAAGAAATGGTTAAATAAGCATTGGGTATTATTATTGGATGTCTCCTCAATATATAAACAGAGTCATCCGATCGAAAAATATTGATTTTCAAGAATTCTATACCATTTCTACGAGAATTTTCGCCCATATAAAATACATGGAAAACTTTGAGCGCAAAAACTTTGATACAAAAAAATAGAAAAATCCTACAGGGTGGGTGCATTAAAATTCCGACTTTACTTGTTTTTTGGATTGCCATAATACATATGTACATATGTATATACTCAATGATTTACACAAACTTAAATTTTATGATTTCAGTCCATTCATAATATGAATATGACAGATTCTGCATTGTTGAGAGCGTTATTAGGCCATTGGGGAGTGCCTGATTTGTGGCCACTTCTTCAAGGTATGAAATGAAAAATGTTACATACATACATACATATGTAGGTATATTAGAGTTAAACCTCAATAAAGCATAGATAAATAATAAAATAATAACAGTTTCCTACCTTTACATCTCAAAAACCTTTCTGCAGCTGAAAGCATTGGCATCGACGAGCTGAAAATGATGAAAAACCATCATATCGTCGAACTACTACATTCCTACAAATTGGGTACACGCATACGATTTGAATATTATTTCGAGCGTTGGCGTCGTGATCAAAACAAACCACTGCTAGATGATGTTACACCTAATCAATACCATTCCACATGCTCTGCTTCGGCGCCATACACAATGCGCTTACCGCATTCGCCGCCACAGGGGGCTCATAAAAAACAGCAATCACGTGCCACTAATACCGTTACGGTGCGTTATGCCACCGTTGCGACAAATACATCAGATATGATGCTTACAGTGCCAACAAAGGATATAACACCACCAACACTTGTCCCCCTTAAGGATACTAGCTTACGTGAAATGCCAAAGCTTACACGTCAACACAGCATATTGGAGGAGAGTCTGACGACGCCGACTACAACGAATGCGGCGGCTATACCTAATGCGACGACCATGGCGACGCCTTCATGCCCATCACGGCTGCCCCCAAAGTTTCAATTTGGCAGCAACGATTCGACGGAAACCGAACAAGCTGATACTGCGCCATTGTTGCACATTCTCAACTCATCCGGCATTAAGGGCAACTCCCTACTGGAATACTATCAACAACATAAGCAACTGACGAACGTGCACCGCACACTGCTCATTCAATTGATTGTGAATTTCTTCGATTTGAACGAATATCATTTGTCGCTTAAAGTCAGCCATAGTTTGGAAGAGCAGATTCTGAAACTCTTTCCGACTGAAAAACTCGAATGCTATCGAACGGAAAAACGTGGTAAAATCTATGTGAAATTTTGCAATATGAAGCGTTATAAACGTGATAAACCTACATTGAAGCGTAAGTGGTTGGAGGATGTGGAACCGGGCGACGAGGGTGCCGGTGGTGGTGGTGGCGGTAATATGTTAATGGAACCAGAGGTTGGCATCGAATGTGGCGATGAGGATGTGGATGACTACGCACAAAGTTTCGAATACTGGCATGCACAGCAGTCGCCTAGTGGGGTGCAGGTGAAGACTGAGTCGCTAAGCGACGGTGATTATTAGTGGATAAATTGGGGAGAAATCGACACTGCAAAAGGTGAAATGTAATTAAGAAGATTGAGAAATCGAATGTTGCAGAATACATACATAATACACTGAGAAAATAATCCAGCAGCGACAACTAAAGAGGTTTCTCTCAACACATGACTTTTTTTGTACACTAGGTTTGTTTAGAGGCTACATGTGAATGCATTAAATTAGTTTAAAGCTATTAAATTTTAGTTACAGCAATGTTATTAACCAAAATTATATGGAAAAGCACTTATTTTCGATGCAAATATATTTTTTATGATTAAATATAAAAACTAGATATGTGGTAAAATTGTGTTTTATTAAAAATAAACCAATAAAGATTAAAAAAAAGACTAAACTTGTTTTAATTTGAGTGGACAAACATAGTATAAACTTTACTATATACTACAAAGGGCCACGATTTGAAAATTTAACCTGGAATGTCCTGACCCCTAATGCGAGGCACCTTCTCTGCCTGACTGGCTAATGTACTCGTGAAGACAAGGGCTGATATCACTGCCATCCAAGAAATGCAATGGAAGATGGATTTGCGTTGGGAGAGATACTCCGCTTTTTAAATAATGGAATATTTTTTCTTTAATTTCCTTCGAACTATGAATAAGAACGACGTGGCAAAAACAAGAGTGCCATACCTACGGTGACCATCCGTTCTGTTTTTTGCAGGACCGTACTGTTATTTAAAGGTCTGTCCTGCGTAGTTTTTCAAAACAGAAAACCCCCAAAATGTTCTGATTTTTTCCAAGTGTCCTGCCTTTGTCCCGCATTTTATTCGATATTTTAAAGTTAACTTTTCCTAATCGAAATAAAAGCAGCGTAAGTTGGTTTTGAAGGTTCAACTAGTCAATGCCTTCTAAATATTGTACGGATATGGACAATGGGTGACGAGAAATTGAAGACCAGCATCAAATATATCGATAACACTGTTCTACAAATTTTGTGTAATCGCTTAAAAAAAAAAATATTTTCCAAGCCGATTTTCTTTTCAAACAAGCGTTTTCGTAATTTTTTCGAAAAAAGTGTTTTTGGTACATTTCGGACCTATTCGTCAATGTCTCATGAAAAAATTATCCAATCAACATAAGCGACCTACAAAAATATATTACTTTGCCGATTTCCATGAAAATTATTAGTGTTACAAGCGACCAAAATCGAAAAATTGAAATTTCAATCATTTTCTTTTTACAGTAAATGAAACTCTGATGAGAAATGTAGATGTTACGGAACACAATCTGCACAAAAAATATATATTTTTGCAAAGAGCCCATCAATACCTTTCGAACTGTTGGTCGTTTCATGAGATATTGAGGAATAACTGAAAAAGTACTAAAAATACGTTTTTCGAACAAATCTCGAAAACACTTCTTTGAAACCATGGGTATTTTTTCGTGTTCAACGATCCAAAGTTTGCCTAAAAAATTAGCTTTACAGAGGGTCATATTTCGCGTAAAGTAATATGTAATATGCCTTGATATAATTGTGTAAATATTCATTTATAAAAGAATAATACCAATGAAGCAAATGTGATTTATGTTTAAAGTTCAAAATTGGATTAATAATTAAGAAATATACCATCGTTATTTGAATAGCGCGTCCTTTTAATACTTAGTAGGTACAGTTTTCGTTTTGTTTGTTTAATATTCATTAACTTTTTATAATAATATAGCATATTCTACCTCTACATCCCATTTTAAAAATTTTTGAAAAATTAAAAAAAAAAAATAAACATAGGGGCGACAATTTTTTTGTTGACGGTGCTGCGCATTTTCTTCCATATAAAAATTTTGTCAAGCATACTTTGTATGGTACGCTATTCAAATGACGCTATGTAGTATATTTTTGTTATTTTTATACAACGCAATTATATGTAGGTAAATTTTTTGAAAAATTGTCCTGCATTTTCAAAATATATTTATGGTCACCGTAGCCATACCAAAACAAAATTAACCAGTTCCATTGACTGTTGAAACTAGAAAATTTTAGTTGCTGAAAAGTTAGTAAACAAGAAAGGTTTCACAAAATTGTATTCAAGTATTATTTTTCAAAGGTGCCATTTTCCCACCTTGTGCCAAATTGAAAAATTTGTTGAAATTTAAATTAAAATAGGACTAAAAATGGCACGATGTATGCTAAAACGGCGGTACTGGCGCCAAAAGTGTTCTCAGTTAAGTCTGTGAATCAGTCTCAATTATTTTCCTTTTAATTTAATAAAGGTAAGTTGCTTTGCGTACACAGTTCCATTTCGATCGTTGCCAGCTATAACCGCTGCAACTTGCTTTAGCCGTTATTGTTCTGTAATTGTGGTGATTGAAACGTAAACTGTATACATAAAAGTAAAGGGAAACATAAACTGGGTGGAATTATTGTGACAATTTTACCAAATTATAAAATACTGGTAAATACTCGGCTATTTACCCAGTCTGTTGTGGTAGGATCAACATTTGAAAACACATTTATCTACATACATAATTTGGTTGTAGCTGAGTATCCAGAGGTGCTTGCCATTACTTATTTGTACGGGTCCAGAGGCCCTAAATTTAATTGCTGGCTGAAAAACATATTAAAATTAAAATACATGTAGAAATAAAAGCCTGAGCCATTGTTTCTGATTTTTATTTTGTGTCTCCGAACTATGAAAAAGCATCTGTGAAGTGCAGAACATAAGCATATTCAAACGAAAAAATCTCTAAACAAAAATTTATTTAATTGGCGCCAAATCATATTCAGCCTTTTCGTCCGAAATCGTTCAGTTTTGTTTTCGGGCAAATCTCAGGATTACGCAGATTTATTTTAGCTAAACAACCATAATATAGGGCCATTTCATTTGAAACTAGTGGGTCGTTTGACTACCAACAACACTTATGGCCTTATTCATAAAAAATTAAGTAACTTTAAAAAACGTTTACAAACTGAAAAATTTATGAAAACGTCAGTTTATTAAGCTTTTTAAACCAACCTTAATTTTTATGAATAAGGCCATTTAACTTTAAGCCTGATTTTTTTTTTGTAAAATATTATTTAATATTTTTTAACACTGTTCAAAAGACCAATGAAATATAGCCATTTAGCTGTGGTTAATGCTGAAAAAGAGATGTCCAACAGAATTTTAAAATGTAAGTCCTTTTCGTTTTTTTACATAAAGTGACCCTGGTTTAGTTTTTCCCAGTATACATATCTATGCTCAGTGCATGCACATACTGGAGTTCCTATGGAAGTGTGTGCCTTCTTATGGCTGTACGACATGAATAATTAATTAGATAGGATACTTGCGTGAGGAGAGCGTGAAAAAAAAATAATCGTAGGCATATTCGTATGTTAGACGATAATTATAATACAATTACTGTAGCAAAACCATAATAGCACAAGATTACATATACATACTTGGTAATTTTTTAACCACGAGTAAAACGTCAAATTCCCACAAAAAATCAGTCATCTTTTTCTCTGTAACCACCTAAGCGATTTTGTCCGAGTTCAAAAAAATACGCCAGTCGCTTATTTTCTGTGCCAAATGATGCAAATTGGGATATGCCAAGTGAAGCCAAGTCCTTCTCAACCTGTTCTTTCCAACGAACAGAAGACCTTCCTATTCCTGGGATGTTACCAGCATCGCGACTCAATCGAATGGCATGGCCAAACCAGCGGGGCCCCTGTATTTTAATCAGCTGCACTATGTCCATGTCGTTGTAAAAGTCATACAGCTCACTGTTCCATCGTCTACGGTACGCGCCGTCCCCAACGCGTAAAGGCCCTTAAATCTTCCACAAAATCTTTCACTCGAATACTCCAGGAATCGCCTCATCGGATGTTGCCATTGTCCATGCTTCAGCGCCATATACCAGCACGAGCATGATGAGTGACTTATAGGAGGTGGTTTTCGTACGTCAAGAGAGGTCTTTATTCCTGAATTGCCTACTCAGTCCAAAGTAGCNCCAAGTTTCATCTTGTCCTCGTTTACCACCAGACCCGTTCGCTCTGCTTTCTTATCTAACTTGGAAAAGGCAGAACGGACTTCGTGGTTTTGGTTACCGAAGTTTTTGCCGAAGCCGAAAGCTTTGTTATCTAGTTTCTTCAAAATCTGTTTAAAAAATTATGGTATCGCAATTTTTTCTTAAAATCTACTTTCAGCTGAGAACTTTGGAATTTGAAATTGTGATGAAGGAATATGTATACATATAAAAGAGTTCTTAGAGGTGCTGATATTTTTCAATATTGGAGTACTAGCTCCCTAGAGTTACTTAAATTAGTTGCTAAAAATTATCTGAACACCAGCTTCTCATAAAAATACAATCGCCGTTCGGAGTCGGCGTAAAACTGTAGATTCCTCCGCTTTATGTGACAACATCAAGGCGCACGCCACAAATCGGAGGAGAAGCTCGGCCAAACACTAACATATGTGTACGCGCCAATCTAAAAAAAAAAAAATTATCTCCTTGCTCCACCCACCAACGGTCACAGAGAAAACTTACTTGGAGAGAACGCAAACAAGCTGGAAATAGCAAACCTCCAATGCAATGCAATGAAAAAGTTTATAATAAAATCCATTTGGAGTTAGGAAGCGGCGTAAAACTGTAGGTCCTTCCAATTGTGTTACAACATCAAGACGCAGACCACAGATTAGAGGCTCGGCCAAACATTTAGCAAAAGTGTAATCGACAAAATACAAAAACAAATACATTTGCTATATAACAATGACTTTACCCAGAAACTGAACTGTGACTACATTTATTTTATGAAAATGTGAATTTTTTGTTATACATATGTTGTATTTTATGTACACTTAAAAAGGCAAGATGGAGCTTATTCTCTGGAAAAAATCCGTTTACTTAATTTTAAAGTAAATCATCGGCTTCGGATTCGGTAACCGGCCTAATGTTAGATCAAAACCGAAAGTTCGGTTCTGCTTCGGCAATCGACGACGCCGGCGCGTATGGCAACGCCGACGCTACTGCTCATAA